ATATATATATATATATATATATATATTAATAAGTAAAAAAATATAGAAGATTATTTAGAATGTTTTACCTATTATATTGCAATAAGAAATGGCTAGAAATCAAATATATATATTTTAAAAATATATAAAATAAATAAATAAATAAATACGATAGAGAATCTAATTTCATAAATTAAAAATCGTCCTATTTATCCCTACAATAAATAAATAGGAGATTTCACGAGAAAGATCGAAATGGGAGATGAAAACAAAAACGGACGTGTAAAAGACGTCCGTGCCCCTGTTTGATGGACATCTCGGAATGTATGTTTGAATTATTAAATTTGATATGTAGATACATTAACAAGCTTATAATAAATGCAAATATGTAGCATTTGACCATAATACAAGCTTTAATTTAGTAGTGTTTTGACTGCAGAGGTTTCAGAAATGCTTAAGACTCTGTCTTTTTCTTTATGGAAATTAAATATACAAATTAATCTTTCCGCAGCAATAATTCATCATTATTTACTTATCCATCGAATATTAATTGTGTGTTTTTTTTTTTTTTTTCATTTATTAACCTAAATTTAAATCGTCATTTTTGAGAAATTTTATGTTATGCTATTTAATTATATTGATATTATGTTATAATAATGTTAGATAAGTTCACATTTTTAAATTTAATTTCAATTATAAATATATATGTGGTTAAATGTCATAAAATTTAAAAATGTATAATTTATTATGTTTTAGACATGATGGTAAAAAAAAAAATATTTGTTTATTTTTGGAAATTAAGAAAATATCTTTTTAAACATTTATTTTCATGTATTATTTTCATCAACTAGTCGTAGGTGTAAATCTCGATATTTAATATTGTTTTTTTTTTAATAAATATTCCGAAAAAAAAAAAAGGGAGGACGAGGTGGCGCAAAAGCGTGCGTGAAGTTACGCACGTGCGAGGAGGCATGAAAGATTATTATAAAAAGGAAATACGCCACGAAGACATTTTCGAGCTTAGGAGAAGCCTCCTCTGTTTTTCTTCTCTCTTTTGTTCTTTTTCTTTTTTCTTCTTACGTTTGTTGTTTTCGTTCTCGATTATCCGTTGGGGTAGCATTCACAAACGCCCATTAGGAAAGGAACAAATAAATGCTCTGTTTCACCACAGCTTTTTGATTCCATTGCGAAACTCTGTTTTTTGAACTCAATACAAAGGAGCGAAACAGGGCATAGCGAGAAATCAATGGAGGGTGTTGTTGCGAATGATGAAATGAAGCAATCCAAGTTTAGGAGGATTTGTGTGTTCTGTGGAAGTAGCCAAGGCAAGAAGAAAAGCTACCAAGATTCCGCCATTGAACTTGGCAAGGAATTGGTAATATTCCGCTCTTCTTGAACTCTATTGTCGATTTCCCATTTGTCTGGATTGCCCATTTCTCTGTATTTTGTGTTCGATGTTGCTATAGATTGTTCTACATTTGTTTCCTTCACTTCAATGCTTTAATGATCTTTATTACGTTTGTTATTTGTTGTTTGTTGTTTGTTTTGAATCTTCGTCTTCTGTTGATGTTCATTTGGATTCCTTGTGATTGTGCTCACAACGTGTTTGTGATAATGTCCGATCACGACCCTTTACTTATTTTGACTAAAATCTTCCCCAACTTTGAACTTTCCTTTTCCATTTCCAATTAGAAACTGAAATTGCAAAGAAAATGCATTATGTTAGTAGGGTACAGTTAGTTTCTTGGTTTCTTCTGCAATTTCAACCTGTTGAGATTTTCATTCAAATGGGCTTTCATACATACATTCAAACTGTAAGGAAAGAATCCCATTTCATAAAATGAAACTCTCGAGCCATTGAGATGACGAGTTGGGTTTGTTGTTATTGTTTGAAGGTTTCAAGGAACATTGATCTGGTTTACGGTGGGGGCAGCATAGGGCTGATGGGTTTAGTGTCACAAGCTGTTCATGATGGCGGTCGGCATGTCATTGGGTATGCCCCCATTTTTTAATTACATCCACTGGTCCCTCCCTTCAACATTGTTTTTGTTTTTTGTGTTTCTTCTTTTGGGTTTATTCACCATTACAAGTTTACCACTGACTTTGTCATCTTACTGTTCTTGTCCAGAGTTATACCCAAGACACTCATGTCTCCTGAGGTATGTCTGTAACCAGCGGCTGCATAAAGTCTTCAACCTTTCCTTCCTTATTCAGTTATATTTTAAGAAAGAACTGTTCATTTTATTATTATTGAATCTGATTTTACACTTATTTATTCCAACTCATTCTTCTTTATGATACTTTGAGATGGTCTTTTTGGCTATGCTTGGGAGCCTTATCCGTGGTAGTTAGAACTTACCGCTCTCTTTGTTGAATATTGTTGTAAGAAAATCCCACGTTGGCCAATTTAGTGAATGATTATGGATTTATAACGAAGGAATACATCTCCATTGTTATGAGGTATGTTCGGAAGCTCAAAGTAAAGTTTCGAGAGTTTATGCTTAAAGTGGACAATATCATACTATTGCTGAGATCCGTAATTCCTAATACCTTAATCCTTTCTAATGTCAACCTGTTTCATGATTTTATTTATTTATTTATTTATTTTTTTTTTTTTTTTTTTTTTTTTTTTTTTTTTTTTTTTTTTTTTTTTTTTTTTTTTTTTTTTTTTTTTTTTNTTTTTTTTTTTGAGTTCTTCATTTTAAGCCCTTCATTCTTATGTCATGACAAGTTCAGAAAATTAGAGATCATCTCTGGATCAAAACCTTTTGGAATTACCCTCCCTTTTCCTACGTCAAAACCCATCATTTTTCTCTCTCCAACAAGGCTCCAAAAGTCCTCTTTCTCTCTCTAACCTATCTTTTTACGTGGTCTACTTTTATAGTTGACTGGTGAAACTGTCGGAGAAGTGAAGGCAGCGGCAGATATGCACCAAAGGAAGGCAGAGATGGCAAAGCATTCAGATGCTTTTATTGCTTTGCCAGGTGAGTATATAAAGCCTGCACATCAAATTCTTAAGCATTTGGGCTTTTTTACTCTCAGTCAAATCAATGTGCCCATTTGGGCTATGCTATCTGTCGGTCAGTCAAAGCTCTAAAAACCCTTCTTTCAGATCTTCCTTTTGTTCACTCCTGTAAACAAAAACATGCAATCCTCGTCTTATTCTCTTTTTATCATCAATTAATCTTACCCTTCTGCTTTCGGTGCCTGTCCTTCTAGCCTTCTTGTTTTACTGATCAATCAATTCAACTCCAAAGATCTCGGACTTCTTCAACTTTTTCCACACAAACTATGTCACCATCTGCATTAATGGTGGTATGCACTTATAGCAACTGTGGGCAGCCATCTTCTCCTTACATTTGGTCATGATTCATTAAGAAACCATCATTGACCCATCAATATCAGACACTGAAAAAGATAAGTCTCTTGAATCATACCAGCTGTGGGCAGCTATGTACTTCCCAAAATTTGATCCTTAATTTCATAGCTCTACCTCTGCCATGAACAGTAAAAACGGCAACTTTGACTCACTTTGCTTAAATGGTCCTTGCTATATGGGGAATCATTATATTCCTTCTTTGAAAACTTTTCTCCCCAATTGGTTCTTTTGAATTTCAAAACATTTAAGCTTCTTCCTCTTATATATGATTCCACTTGAGTTTAAAAACTAAACTTGTCATTCGATCTAAAACTGCGGAAATCAAATCTTATTAAGATTAGTAGTGTTAAGTATAGAATCTGCATTTTATTAAAACTGCTAAATTCTTTGTTCCAATCATATGAATGCATGCAGGTGGGTATGGGACTCTGGAAGAACTACTTGAAGTCATAACATGGGCTCAACTTGGAATTCATGACAAGCCAGTCAGTGTATCTTATTTTTGTTATTCGAATATTCCATCTGCTCAGCCTTACTTTTGCCTGTGCTGTGATCGGTTAGCTATGATGGTTACTGAATATTAACAAAATGAATACTAAAAACTGCAGGTGGGGCTGTTGAATGTTGATGGATACTACAATTCATTACTGACATTTATTGATAAAGCTGTAGAGGAGGGATTCATCACTCCAAATGCGCGTCAAATTATCCTATCTACGCCATCAGTCAAGGAGCTAGTGAAGAAGTTGGAGGTATCATGATAATAATATTATTATAAAAATATGGATCATGTCGATTGAGAGAGATAGTTATGAGAGATTTTTCCCTTTTAACTAGATGGGGTTTAAACATGGATTTCTCCCCATTAGTGATGATAGAACCTGATCCTTGCAAATTCTCTACAGGGAGTTTTCGCCCGGTCTCCGCCTAAGATTGAGCATGAAATATGATACCATATAATTTCTTGTTCTTTAGCTTTATGGATTGGTTGTGAGAGAACCAAATAGAATCCTATGTGATGACTGTTGAGTTGTGTGTGTAGGAGTATGTGCCTTGCCGTGACAGAGTTGCTTCAAAGCTGAGTTGGGCGATAGAATAGCTTGGCTTATGAAGATGGTCCACAACTTTTTTAGCAAATGAAGGAGGCCACAGTGATTTTGTCTATTATTGCCTATTTTCTGGTGTTCTTTCCCCTTTTTTGGTAAATTACTCCATTTCATGTCAGTTTATATATTAAAAACAAAAGCCTCTAATTAATTGTTGAAACTTTTTTTTTTTTTTTTTTTTTAATGTTCTTGTATTCTCTTGTGAAAATTACCACCTTCTTTGGTCTCATTGGTGCTCTCTGCAGACATAAACAAATTTTAGCATAAAATATGTCCATAAGTTAACTAAAAATAGTTTATATTCAACCTATATTTAGATAATATTAATTCTTCTATTAATTAAGAGTTTTTTTAGAAACTTTTTTTCAGAATCAGATTAAAATTTATTGCAAGTACAAAAGATTAAATTGAAGGTTTAGTGAGAATACAGTGATTAAAGTTAGATCTAAAAAGTCTAATTTTGCTATGAAAAGCAAAAAAAAAAAATTCGAAATGAATAGTTTCACTTTTAACTATTATATAATATAAAACTCTCATACATTTAATAGTGTGACGTCACACCAAATCATTGGTTTCTAAGTTTGTCTTCAGCTGAAATATAATATCGACTCAAAATCCTACCTAAAAACCCCAGATTTAAAATCATTTCCACATTCTAAATTGCTCTGAACAGGATTTCAAATTAATTATTGAATCATTTGAATTCTAAAAGGAGTACTGAGAAGAAAAGAGTACTCTAAATTGTTCTACAAACTAACCTTATACTTACACTTGATTCATGAAAAGAAGCTTCCATGTTTTTCACCTCTTTTGTCACTGCTTAGCCTATGAGGAGCGACAATGCAGCTCAATGTTTCTCTTTCCTCTATCCACTTTGTCATCCCAGCTGAAACTTCAGTCTTAACAATCCATCCAATCCTCCGAAGTGAAATATGGGAATAAGCAGCTGGGTTGAGATGAAAAAGTAAAGAGAAAGTCAATGGTCTCGTGGAGATTGCATAATAATCTCCTCTCCTGCAAAATCCAAACAAACATTTGGTTTAAGTACTAATTCCCATCAAAAGCCACCACCAGCAACCTTTGTTATAGACGTCTTACAATTCAAATTCAATGCTAGTACTATATTCAGTGTCTGTTGATTAGCTCTATTGAGAGCCACATCTCGACGTCTCGGCCTTTAGCTTTTGCTGTAAGGCATCCACTTTTGTGCGAAGAGCTAAGTTTTCCTGAAAACCTTGACATTTTAAGGGGGACAAAACCAAGTAGATCATATGGGACAAAATTTCAGTTCTGAAGACAAAGCGATAGAATTTCTTGCATGTATGTGATGATATACGGATCTTCTCGAGTCATTTTCTAATTTTTTGAAGGGAAGATTGAGGAGAGAAATTACTTAGTTATATACTCGAAATTCAACAACAATATAATTATAACAAGGAATTACCGTTTGCATCTTTGTTAGCTTCTGATCGAAGCTAGCAGCATCCCCCACCTTCTTAAAAGATTCCTTAAGCTGCCAAGTATGAGTGTACTGAATCAGTGGTCAAATACAAAGACGTACAAGAAACTTACTGCTCATGGAGGTTCTTAAAAAAAACCATTCAGAAGTTCAATTAGTTGATTGAGATTTGTTCAATCTTATGTATGTTTTTTCAGCATGCCTCTCACTTGTAGAATTCGAGAAAAGTATAAGATCCAACAAGGGACTATCAGTACTAATTGAAAAGGAAATCACATTCCAATGTTTGAATATTCCATGCTCTAATAGCAAGTTAATTTGTATTAAACCCAAAAGCTTATGCTAATATGTAACGTAAACCAGTTTCTTACAACAGCATCGTACGACAGATAAATGATCGACAATATGGCAAGAACAGAGAGTTAATTGTTCGATTCAAAAAAAAAATCGCATACTCCGCGTTTAACAGGTTTTTTTGCCGGTTGACAATGCAAGAAGTTCTGAATTTTTTGATTGGCAAGCCGTGAATCGAAGGAGCAGCAACGAGATAAAAAAAAAAATTCAAGCATGCGCCCGTCAAAAAACCTGTTACAAAGAATTGCACAAATGGTAACAAAATCATTCCGCTGGATCAAGGCAAATATATAGTTTCAATGCAATGAGGAAAAATTTCCTTCGAATTCATGGCAACGTAAACCTGGGATACTGACCTTATTTAGATCACTTTTACATTTATTAGCTCTATCGTGTTCGTGGTCGTACATACGACGCCATTCCGCAGATTCATCCATTGCCTCCCGGTTCGCAAGGTGGAATTGCCTCCTAAACGATAATAAACGAGCAATTTAAAACAGATAACCTTACTGCATTTTACATTTCGAAGTTCCGACCGCATGGATAAGAGAAACCGGTACCATTTCCTGAAGTTTCAAACAAATTTTCGTGACGAGAACCAACATAATGAGAAAAAAAAAAAAAAAAAAAAGAGGAACGAATGAAAGATTTCCAATCCAAACCTGAGAAGTTCGGCATGGCCGGAAGACATGGAGAAGTCGATGGTCCAAAGCCTCATGTACACTGCCGATCCCAAGAACATCGCCACCGCCAAACCTATGAAGATTCGCTTCCGATCTGCGCCCATGTGCCCTCTCTGTCTGTCAATAGCCGGTGAAATCGACATCGACAATCTCGAGGTGAAAGGTCGGGGGATACTTTTCATTGAAGACTGGCGCGGTTAGCCCGTTATAATTGATTGGGCCCAATATCTTTCGACAACCACACAAATTTCCAATCTCGGCCCATCTAGGCCCAATTTTTAAATGTTTTTTCTTATAATATTATTTTAGGTTTTTTGTTTTTTAAATTTATTGCTCGTTTTTTTTTCTTTTAAATTTTTTAAAAATAATATTAATTTTAAGTCAATTTTCAATAAAATATATATAAGCTAACTTTTTTTTTTTTTTAGTTTTTAAATTTCAAATGATTTAAATATCCATAGAAAATTAATTAAAAAAAATTTAAACATCCAACCCTTGAGATGAATAAACACATATAAGTTAGTTACAGTCGAGTTATACTCATATTGACGTTTATTTCAAATTTAATTTTTAAATAGATGAATTAAATATAAATCTCGATTCGTTTTCTAAATCAAGATGAAAATTTGAGCTTATAATATTAATTTTTGAATGAAACGATTTTAGCAACAACATTAAATATGGGTATTACGAGTAGGTATGCCTCCCACGTTTATTCACCTGTTCATTAAAATTATTATAATGTATCGGTATCCAAAAATCGCATTCAAAGTTTCATAAAGTTTGTACATCCCCAATGGTCGACAACCACTTAAAAATATAAAAATGAATCAATGTAATCTAAATTGTATTATTTAAAAAACGTTCGAGCAATATAAATTATATCATTATATTCACATGTCACAATATCGATAACGTGAAATGTCATATTACCCTTACAAAATAGGACCACGTATTGAAATATCTGCTCCTATGTTGTGTTTGGCAGTGGTTGAATACCTTTCATGTTTGCAAATCTCCACGTGGATTCTTATTCCGGACAGGAATATCTTATTCCACTAGAAGAGTAATACTCTCACAGCCACCAATCATGGACCATTTGGCCCCATCTTTTTTTCATTTTAGCCAAATTATAAATGATGCGATGAAATTTTAAAATTATATATATATATTAGTATGTTTATGTGATTAATAATTTGATTTTATGTGTAAGGTTGGTTATATTATAATGTAATTTAAAATTAATAAGTAAATTAAAATACATTATAATAATTGACACAAAATGATTTGAATTTTGATCATTGAATTATCGTTAATTTCTAAGTATTATTTTTTTAAGTTCATAAGTAATAAATTGGCAGGAGTGATGAAGAAAGTCGAATTAATTTAAAATATTATATTGAATTAAAGACTCTTTAATGCTTTTCTTATTAATAATTTATCGTTTATATTTATATAATACATATGAAAATGACTGTTTAGACTTTTTTGTCCCTTTTATTTTTACTTAAAGGTGGAAGTTGATTCTCCATCCAACTTAATTCCAAATTTATTATTTATTCGTGTGGTTAAATTTTAAATAATTTGTTTAATTGAATATAATAAATAATTTCATTTTATATTCTAGGTGATTTCCTTTTATATAATTATGAAATGTCGTAATTTTTAAAATAATAGTAATAACACGTAAATGGCAATTTTATCCTTAAATTAAAAAATAATACGATAATTTTGACATTATCATTTAGAGGTTGTTGAACAAACCAAGCAGCGCCGTTGGATTAATATAATTCCGCAGTGGTTTTTCTTTTTTCCTTTCCTTTTTTGGTCAATAACTCTTTCAATAATATTTAATTATCACTCAATTATTTATTTATTACAAACAGTTTTCATCCATTCATTTGTAAATTAAATTAAAAATTTTAATTTTATTTAATATTTTTAAAACATTTTTGGAATTAAAAAGAAAATCTAAGGCTCGTTTTTTATTTTATTTTGTCTCTTTTTTGATAATGACAATTGAAAGCAAAATATTAAAATCTAAAATAAATAAGTTTAAAAATATTGGCCCATGTCCCTGTCTAGGAGGATAAGCTACACAAGAAAATCAACCCAAGAACTTCCCATAAATACCCATTCATTTTGCTCACCAATCCCAATTCGCCACGTGTCGAATTTAGTAGTTTTATTTTTGTTTTTTATTCAAAAAAACAATTATAATTTGCATATTTGCTAAATATCGGAATTTAAGTATTTAAACTCGGAGAAATTTATTTAATTGACAAAAAAGAAGAAATAAAAGAGAGAAAATTAATGGAAAATTACAATGGATTATTCTAAGTATAATTTCCGGTACCGATTGCACGGTGGTTTTTTTTTTTTTTTGCTATTTAAAAACTAATTTTAATTAATCTTCGAACCCAGTTTTTTCCCAAATTGCATTTCTCACCATTCTCAAATCTCTGCCCTTCAGCGTTCTTCCGATCCCCTCGTGAACCGAAAGCGAATCGCCTCGCCGTCGCGCTAAATACTCGTGCGGTGGCGCCCGCCGAATGTCGTTGTTGTCGTCATCGCTATAATCGAAATCCTCTTCCTCTGTTTCTCTCCGGCCTTGCTTGCTCTGGTCGCTCTGCAGAATCTTCGACCAGTCCGGAATGTTGACCGGTAAGGACGAAGACGCCTTCACCGCCTTCTCCCCCGACGCCGCAGCGCCGCTCCTCCTTGGAAGTTTGTTCGGGATCGGAAAAATCTTCCTCGATTCCAGCGGCGGAGTATGAGCGGATGTCCAGATATCCGCCTCGTCGAACTCGAAGAAGTTATCGGCGGAAGAAGAGTCAGCATGGTTGACTGTGGCGGTGGCAGCAGTCTCCGACGCAGGATAGATGTAGTTAGGTTTCGAGTTGAAACCGAATCCAAAGCCTAATCCTCTCCTTGACGCCATTGATAATGGATCGATGCTTTCGAGTTTTGGATTTTGTTCTTCTTCTTCTTCTTCTTCTTTGCTGTGATTGAATTCAACTGTTCTGAAGTAATCAAAGTATACAATTATTTTGATTTTTGGCCCACCAGTTTTATAATGGTTTTAATGGATAAGTTCACGTTCCCCCCGCCTTCTTTGCCCGGCGAACGAAACGTTTATTTATTTATTTATTTATTTTTAAAAAAGTGGAGAGACAATTCTAGAGCACGAATGCCCACATGGTTTTACCGTGCACTCGCGGTCGGATTTTCACCCCATTTTTCAAAATTTAAAAAATGTACGTGATAAGTCAAATTCAACCAATATAGTGGGGAACACATGATATCGATCATATAGTCGGTAAAAACTCATACAGAGCAAAATCAAATGAAATTATCGAATTGAGCATTTTACTAAGTCAAGCCTACCCACACTCACGATAAAAGTCTAAACATTGTTCATTTTGGCACGTTATGTATCGCGTTAACCTCACAGTATAAAAATGCGTTTGTCAGATAGCAGTTTCAATACTTTTATAATAAATTTTTCGTTCTCCTCCTCAATTGATGTGAGATATCACAATTCACCCTCTTATTCATTTCACACATTTTATAAGAAATGTTTCATTTTACTTTTCAATCGATGTGAAATTTCTCATTCATTTTTTGAGAGACGTGTTCTCTGCTCGCTCAACGGGTAAATTTCTTCAAAGATCATTGATTAACTAGAGCAAAATATATATATATATATATATATATATATATATATATATATATATATATATATATATATTTTAAAGAATATATATTTTAAAAAGTCAATTATTTTAGATCAATAAAGGAAAGTACATCATATCCACGTGAGCTCGAGTCCAATGGCCAGAGATGATGGTAGTAAAATCCCGCATTTACAGCAGACGACAAGTACGATCCGACACGACACCACACAATATCCGGTCTAATTTTCAGTTGCCCACGGAACGACACGTCGGACAAATTAAACTTATATTATATAAATATATATATATATATATTCCTTTCTTTCTTAATTTCATTGCCCCCACCTCCTGCATCCCACGATTGGTGTAATAGAAGATAACGACGAATTTTAAAACAAAATTAATAATACGTCGACACGTGTTCCAATCATTTTCTTTTGAATTAAATAGAAGAAAAACATACAATATTATCCCGTACACACTCTCTCTCCTTGCACCCTCACGTCGGGGGGTCCCACACCGGTTTTAATAGATCAATTTTTTAAATTCCAACTTAATAAAATAATTATTTAAATAATGTATTTCGTTAATTATTTCCACTATGATTAATTTAGTATGAGTTTTTTTTTTTAATAATTAGAAATTATTACTCATTGATTAGCTATAATTAATTAAAAATACAAAAACATTATGGGGAGTGTCAATTTAGTAATTGTCTCCCCCTAATTTGTCTACTTTTCTTAATAATACACATTTTTAGACTTTGGATATACAAGGCAATTTAAAGCCTAAGTGTTTGTTTCTTGCACTCGAGTATAACCTTAATATTCTTTTAAAAACTAACTTTTAATATTTTTACTTCAATCCTTTTAAGCTTTATCTTATTCTAAGTTTGAATTTCCAGTACATATAATAATTTAATGACTAAAAATCATTATTTTTTCGTTCATCAAATTTAAAATAAAAAAAAATAGTCTTTTTAAAAGTTGTCAATAATTTTGGAATTATTATTCAATTTATAATAATAAAAGTTACCATTAAAAATAATCATAATGTTAGAGGTTTAATCTTTTATTAAAAAATAAATTAATATTATTGATTAAGTCATTTTCAAATTTGCTATTTCTTTGAAGTATAATATAGTTTACGTCAACTCTCCACGAGTAGGTAAGATAGAGATTTTGATAATTAATGATGTTGGCTTTCTCGTTTCTTGTCATTTTATTTATTTTTCACGACACGCCAATTATATTTGTAGACAAATATCTATGAATGCTATATTGTCAGATATTATTTTTCATAAAAAAAAAATGCAAAACCAATTTATAATAAACAATAAGTTAAATTAATTGACTAATTTTATTTTTATATATATTACAAATGCTTCTAAAAAAAAATATTCCACTTATTTAGAGGTAGACTTTTTTGTACAATAATGTAGCATAATTTAAATGAAATTAATTAGTATTTTTTTAATATAAAATTATTTATTTCTTCAATGAGAATTTCCAAAAGTTAGATTTTGGAAATATATTTAGACCAAAATATCGAATTAGAAACATCAACGAGGTGTAGAAAAAAGTATTTTAAATATTTGGGCCATTTTCCAAATCTGAAAGTTTTTTGGGCCATTTTCGAGAATAACAATTTTCAATGGGCCGACACATCGAGGGATGCGTCCAAGAGTAACGGATTAGGGTTTTCAATATACAATGGGCCGACACATCGTCGTTGTCGCAGCTATATCCAAAACCCTAGCATAAATCGACTGAACGCCACGCCATTTTCTCTTCGCCGTTTTGTTAGTTCACCAGTGGCTGGAATTCCTTCTGTGGAATCTCTCAGACCCACCAGCCTTCACGCTGCCGAATCATGCCGCCGAAGTTCGACCCAAGTCAGGTGGTTGATGTGTTTGTTCGTGTGACCGGAGGTGAGGTCGGAGCTGCTAGTTCTCTCGCTCCGAAGATCGGTCCTCTTGGTCTTTCCCCTAAGAAGATCGGAGAAGACATTGCTAAAGAGACTGCTAAGGAATGGAAAGGTCTCAGGGTTACTGTAAAGCTCACCGTCCAAAATCGTCAGGCGAAGGTCTCCGTTGTGCCTTCTGCGGCGGCTTTGGTAATTAAGGCCTTGAAGGAGCCGGAACGTGACAGGAAGAAGACTAAGAACATCAAGCACAATGGAAACATTTCTCTTGATGATGTGATTGAGATTGCTAGGGTTATGCGGCCCAGATCGATGGCTAAGGACCTCTCAGGTAGCGTCAAGGAGATCCTTGGTACTTGCGTGTCTGTTGGTTGTACTGTTGATGGCAAGGACCCTAAGGATCTTCAACAGGAAATTTCTGACGGCGACGTTGAAATCCCCCAAGATTGAGAGTAAAACTTTCTTTAGCCACCCTTTTAGAATGAGGGGTATTGAATTTACTACTACATCTTTGTTTTTTCAGTTTTGCTATTTAACGTAAGTTTTAGGGCGGTTCTTCTCTCTTGTTTATCTGTGATTTTTGTCGGTTTTTTTAAAAGCTTGCATTGGATTATTGCAATGAATATCAAAGCCCCATTTCTGTTCTATCACTAGTGCAAGGACCGTATTGTGATTATCCGGTTAGATTACTTTTTTTTTTCAATCAAACTCTTGCCTACAATTGCTCGTTCTTATCTTTACGGGGTATTTTCATGATTTGTTATGATCGTTTAAGGGGCGCTTCCATGATTTGTTAGGATCTTCTGTTTCATCTTTGATCAATTGTATTTTCTCTGTTATTAGTTTCCATGATTTGCTGCAGATTAGATTTCTTGCTTATCCCTGCCTAGAGCATATGTAATATTTTAAAGCTAACTTGAATTCGGCAATACTATCATGGGTTGATGCAAAGATTGGCCATTCTACGACACTTTTTGTTTTGTTCTTTCATATAGGAATGGTGATTTGTGTAGAGGATTGGATGGCCCATTATGTCCATGATGTATCCTAGGACAATCAAATCTTGTTCTTTTCTAAATTGCCCAATAGGCATAAATTCTCTAAAATTGTTCAGTTTCATGCCATAGATTCATTAGCAATAAATAGGCTTCTATACAATTAGTTCGAGGCTTTTGCATGTTAGTTGCCTGTAGCCCTTGTGATGTTAGGCCCATTATATTATCAATTATCAGAAGCTTAGCCGAATGGGATAGCCTTTGCCATTATATAAAGGTTTAGCTCATGGGTTAATGAAATTTGAATACAGAGATGGTTATCTAAAATTAACGATAGTACACAAAGATAGTCCTAACACGACAGATCGTGGCATAGAATCTTGGTTTACTTAGTGCTTGTGCTAAGGAGAAAGAGTTTAGATTCGAGGTGGATCCCTTTTTTCTTTGCCTTTACGAGTTGAGTAAACAAAGTATAAAGTTTGATTGTGAGTTTCTTTTAGGTTCTCACACTAAGATGAGAAAGTGTGCGTTCATGTCTTAGAATCTTGGTTTTGATGTAGTTGCAAACCAATTATTTTCGTCAGAGATGGGGTTGATGTTTCGTGTACCCTCTTCTTTAGGATTCATCTTTGAAGTGACGTGATAGGTAAACAAACCTTGTGGGAAGGAATTTTGGCTTTCATTAGGATTACATTCTTTTCGCCCGAATTGCAAGGCTTGCTAACATTGAGGATCTGTTATGCCATAAGTAGAGATAACAAACCGTAAATCAGAGACTTGAATTACCCAAACATGAAGATGATATGTAGTCTGTGGGTGGTCCGTGTACCCTCCCCGTGTTTGATGCTAGAATCCTGTATTTTTATGTGGCTTTTGATGCTAGTAAGCGAGCTCTGGAACAGATCCTGAAGTTTGGAAGTCTGGGTGGAAGCTACTCTTTATCAATAGGATTAGCCTTTTTCTTTCATTTCTTTTAAAATTGTGTTTGGGGCGAAGACAGATGATTTGAGTTTTGAGTGCCATGAAAGGGAAGAGTAAGGGTTGTGATGTTTTGATAGTGTTGATTTACACCAACTTAGAAGCTACTCCACCACCCCCAACCACACACACACACAAGGCACAAACACCAAATAGCCTCTTCTAGACCCAACTAGGAATGTACCTGTTAATTTTTCATATAGTTTTAGTTTTGTAGCAATGGGGTCGAGATAAAAAAACACATGGGATCAGGTTGTTCGCGAGAAATCATTTTTTGTTTCAAATATTTTGAATACATGCATACTCACATACATACATCAATATTTTTTTTTTTTTTTAATTTTAATCTAATAATCGAACTTGTTTTTGAATCTCTAGGGTTAAATGAGTAATTTTAATTAAAAGAAATTCTAAAAATAATATATTTTTTTTCATTTGAAAAAATTAAATTAAAATGTTCACTATAATTTAAACTTAAACTTGTAATCACAACGTAAGGGTGTGGAAGCCTCTCCTTTAATGGCGACGGGCTTTTAGACTTACTTTTAGATTGGGATAAGCCAAATTTAATTGAAATGTAAAAAGGAAAAGGGACACTATAAGAGTGATAAATAAATATATAGATGGATGATATTGTATTTGATTTGAATGAGTAAAGTGAAAGGAAAGAAGTGGTTCTCAAAAGGCATGAATGTCACAGAAAATCCAAAGAGCGAGCGTAGGTTCGTGGATATGAGGTGGAGAGTTTGGTGGCTCATGACGTGACTCTTTAAAAATTTCTCCGCGTTTCCATTCCATGTTTTTTAATCTCTCTTTTTCGTCTTCCTCCGCCTCCTTCTTCCCCATTTCCCCCCTCTCTTCACTCTATAAATATTCTCTTCCATTCCATTTTCTCCTCACTCCCCTTCTTCCACGCTCTCTCTCTCTCTCTCTCTCTCGCATAAACCACCGTTTCGGCGCTTCCATGGCCAAGGCACCCACCAATTTGAGCTCCTGGATCGAGGTCGCTCCTCCGCCTCTTATTTCTCCTTCCAAAACCTCCAATTCTCCTCGCTTGGAGACTATTGCTGAAGACGATTCCGAAGATTGCGATTAAGATTAAGATCGCGATTAGGTATTTGTTGTATTATATTGTGCTCTACTCTTACCCTGCCCTCCGGATTTGAGATCTCTGATTTCTCCGTCCTTTCTTCTGGTTTCGATCTGGTATATTCTTCATTCTGAGATTTTGGTTGCCAGACACGAGTTTTAGTCGATGGAATGGAGAGTCCAAATTGTTTAGGGCTGTAAATTTTGATTTTGATTTTTGTTTTTTAGTCGAATTTTAATGAATTTCGACTTAGTTATGGTGTTGGATTCGAAATGAGTACTTTCAATTTATATGTATATTTATAATTAAAACCATGGTAACTAAATGGATCTTCAATGAAAAATTCAAAGCTATTACATATAACATTTAAAGACTCTTTATTAAATGCGGAAGTAAACTAATCTCAAAATTGACCGGTTTTTAAAAACAGACCATTCTAATTTTTTATTGGCATCATCAAACTTTGGCTTCTTCTTGCTCTTGCTCTCCCTCACGAGTTTCTTCTCGCTCCCTCTGCAATTGGTTTGTACAACGTCGGTAAAAGCGTTGCAAGTTGCCGCAACCCATCGTTCCTTGCGGAAGGAAGAAGAAATAACTTTGGTCGTCCTTGACGGAAAAAGAAGACAAGAGGGAAGAAAATAAATAAATAGTTAATGAAAAAGGTTTGAATACCTTAATTTTTGAAAAATCATCTCATCTCAATTATTATATTCACACAATTTTTTTAGATCGATCAATCAAATTATAAAAAAAAAAAAAAAAAAAAAAAAAAAAAAAAAAAAAAAAAAAAAAAAAAACTTTTACATGTCTATTGTGAATGTTTGATTAATCCACCACACTTAAATGGTGTGAAAATTATCTTATTTATAATCAAATGAATTACAAGGATATGTAAATAGTAATAAATGAAAATAACAATAAATAGAAAGATACCTATGATAATAAGATAAATATTAGATATTTGCTTTATAATAAAATATCAAATATTATATAATATATATGGTAAACTATAATTTATTACTAAATATCCTTAACCTCTATCCTAAATAATCCAATCTAAAAAATATTTCATAAACTCGCCTCTATTCTAACTAACTAGTACTCCATACGGTACAAAAACACATTTTAAAATGTTGATGATGATAACTAATCGACTAAAACGAACAAGTAGATGATGATAACTAACCAATTAAAACGAACAATATCTACTAGCAGTGACTTCGAACTATTACAAATGGTATGAATGATTGTATTAGAGGCAGACACAGAGCAGTGTGCCAACAAAGACACTAGTCCCTCAAGTCCCTCAGGTTAATATGATTTCTATAAAATAGGATCACTTTCACCTTTAAATTTCTTTATTTTAGCATCTATTTTCTATTAGTATATTAAAATATTACGTCTTTGAAAATAAAAGAATGGTAGTTTTTAAACTTTTTTTAACAACGTTCATTTGTAAGCTAACTTTTTTTTTTGGTCGATAACCTAATTTAAAATCCATTAATAAAATTACGTGTCAAAAGAAGGAATCTCTCACGCTTTGAAACGTACCGACTACCGGCTACCGGCACTGGGTGCAATGACTCAGTGGCAGAGTATGGCCTTACGTGTAGCATTAGTAATGGAGGGAAAGCCAATAATTGGTGCGTTTTACCGGTGACGTGTCTTCTCATTATCCATTGGGCGGTGTGGTCCACTCCACTCAACCGGGTCTTTTTCTTTATTTTTTTGTTTATTTTTTTTAAAGTTAAAAGCTGTTTTTATTGCCTTACCTAATTTGATTTTGAGTTTTCTTTCTATGCGTGCACGTGTTACGCATGATTTTATTTATTTTTAAATCTGTCTTCGAGATTCATCTAAATTAGGTAACCTTTTCGAGTATAATTTCTTATATACACTACTTTTCATGCGGGCGAGTTGTTGTTTATGGTCCGAATTGAGCATGGTCTTTCTAAATTGGCTCACCCTTGGAATATCATGATCCTTTACTCGACAATTGTAGCTTTGTGTTGCCTAGGATATAAAGGACATGATAACTTGACATCATCTTTTGACTTACCATCGACCGTCTGTACACGGTTCCAATCTCAACAATTCACAACTAAACACAATCTTTACTGAATTTAATCCAACACCTTACTATATGAAGTGACAACAACCATGCACGGTTTGTGTTCGCGTTTCCGAAGTCTACAATATTTGGATGTTAATTTAAAATAATTAAAGTTATGTTCAAAATAATTTATAAATCAATCTTTAATTATTTGAAATTAATACGGTTGGTATGGAAACTACCTCGTTTAACCAATAGATTCCCTTTTTCACCCGCAGGGTTAAAACTTTAACGGTAAAAAAGAAAAAAAGGAAAATGACGAGCGAGCACCTAAACAGTAATTCCCGGTCTAGCGAAGAAGAATCGTGTTCCTCGCGACCGCGTAGTTTTGCTCTGAAAAGTTATATTAAAATCCATCGCACCACAAATCTCGCTTCTTCCTTCTTTTTCTTCTACACTTTCCGTCTAAAGAGCGCCCCGATTTCATCTGAGTTTTCCGATTTCTTCGCTCCGGGAAAATCTCCAATTTACAGGTACCGATCATAATTGCTTCCTATCTCTCTCTCTCTCTCTAATTCTAATCAGGATCCGCTATTTTGGAATCTGAATCTACGATTGCTCGATCTTGTTCAATGCTTTGTTATTCCGTTGTGTGTGATTAATTCTTCTACTTCTTTGAGTGTCGATTGCTTTATTCTGCTTTTGTCCCGCTGATTCCGGTGTACGGCTGATAGACAGTGGTTACTCACGAGATAGATCTGTGTTGCTGGATCCTTTTGTTATGTGCTTCCGGTCCTCTTTGGATTGATAGCAGAAGTTTTTTAGGGTGATCTCTTTGTTTTCTTAGATTTGGACACTGACGAATCGAGAAACATAGGCATATACGCTTAATCCGCTCCCGCCGGGTGAAGGAGACTGTATCTGGCAAGCGTTGGAGTGTTGGAATTCGGAATTTGAAATTTGACCTTGATTTGATGTGCTGTACTTAAAGGTTTTCAGTCTTACTTTTGACGCACACTATTGATTTATGATTTTCTATCTAAGAAACTGAAACTTTTGTCAATTATTCTGAGTAGAACAATCTTTTCGTGAACTAGGTTTGGGTTTAATATATGAGAAACATTTGAGATATAGATTGTTTCCTGTTCCGTGCATCAAATTTCTAAGTTGACTTGGTTTGAAACTGAAGATGAGGAACATTCAATCGTTTTCTTGTACTTTACCTGTTAATGCTATAACTACGGAGGACTAAGAGTTCAGACTAAAATTAGATTGTTAGGGAGATGAACTGTAACTTAAACTTTATAGACTAGATTAGACTACATTAAGACGAAACAAGATTGAAATAGTTGCTGACTGAGCATAGAAGCCACGACAATTCTTTAACGATGTTTGGAAAGACTCTTGAGCCAGAACACCTAAAGTGCAACTTTTGAAGTACAACTTTGCGTTTTAAGATTTATGGCTTGTTTGATTTCTAAGAGGAGTAGGGCTCCATCAGCCGAAGGTACATGCCTCATGGCTTTTGTGGAGGTTGAAAGAGTAACTTCGACGTACTCTTAGAAGTATTAAATCCTTTTATTTGTTGTGTATTAATGCACGATTGTGTGATAATTTGGTCCATTACTACTGTTACTACCATGATTTGAGTTTAGAAATTGGTTCGATTCATTTAGTCACAATGATCTCATCAAAGAAAAATTAACCATGATGATATCTGCGACTGTATTTGGCATCACAGTTTCTGATCAGGATGTCTCTTTGCTGAGTTTCATGGCCTCTTTTACTTGTTTACCTTTTCCATAAAGTCATTTTCTTTTTATAGGAGAATATGGCAACTAGGGGTCAAGGTGGTATCCAACAATTGCTTGCTGCAGAGCAAGAAGCTCAGCACATTGTCAATGCTGCCAGAAATGGTAAACTTTGTTTATCATTCATATGCATGTAAAATTTGTTATTTGGTCCATATAGGTTGATTTCCTCGAATTGCATTTAGTTCCATACTTTAGTTCATAATTTGCTTGACATGAGTTTGTGAAGTGTGAAGAAGGATCATTATCATCTCCTCTTTTCCCGCTATTGATCTACATTTTTCTCATTGCTTTATGAACCTGTTGAAGTTAGACATAATTTATAACTCAACAACTTGATTTTCCTTTTCTTTTAGCAAAATTGGCTAGACTGAAACAAGCCAAAGAAGAGGCTGAAAGGGAAATTGCTGCATATCGTGCCCAAGTCGAGTCTGAATTCCAAAGAAAACTCACTGAGGTTAGTATAGAATTATTATTACAAACACACATTGTCTCTTGTTGTGGAAAAACAATCCTGATATGTTAAAATTTCCGAGAACTCTGCCCTTGCTTCCCCATCTCACCTTCATCTTTTGATCATACAGAGTAGCGGAGATTCAGGAGCTAATGTTAAGCGGCTCGAAGTTGAGACAGATGTAAAGATTCAAAACCTGAAAGAAGAGTCTGCTAGAATTTCACACGATGTTGTGAACATGCTCCTGAAGCATGTGACAACCGTGAAAAATTGAACTTCTTGATCTTAAAAGGTTGCAGTAAGAACCTCTAAATTATGTTATTCTTTTTGTGGTGCCTGGAAACGGCTTAAATTGCATGTGTATTATGGAGATGAAATCCTTTCCTTTGTATGGAATCAGCATTTTGCAGACTGCACTCTGTTGTTGAATAAAACATAATTTCATTCAATGTTACAGTGCTATGTTTTATCAGAATAGATGTTCATGAAATGCTCATGCTGTTTTGATTGAATTGCTTGCTAATTATTTTATGCATCCAGGAAAAAAAAAGTCAGGTGTGTACCATTTTTTGTTTCTATATCTATATCTATATATATATATATCTAGATATATATAATTGAAGGGCAAGTAAAATGGGTTTAGTTCGGTGGATGAAGACAAAAATTCAAATGATAATAAAGGTGTGTACCATTTTTTTGTTTCTTTATTTTCAGCCTACAGAATTCAGTTAGTGGAAAAAGGCATAATTTCCTTTTTCTCTTCACCGTTCTTTTTTCTTCCCACTTGCTTCCTTTTAATCTAAATTTCATTATTTTATTATATATGATACTACATTTTTAAATTTACCCATCATTTTTTAAAATATTTTGTGAAAGTATGGGGGTCCAATTAGAGATATAAATAATCCAAATGAAATCAAGCCTTTAAAAGAATATTAGAGATTTTTTTTAAGAAATGTTCTAAAGATCAGGGACACAGTGAGGTATCTATAATCATTTTGTGTTTAATATTATATTGAAAATGATATAATTATAGAAGTCTACAAAATTAAATATAAAACCTTTACTATATTTAAATCATACCTAAATTAAAATGATTTTAAAGATATAATACCTAGTTTTGTATAAGCTTATAAATACGGTATTAAATTTTACAAGAAAAAGACTAAAAAATCGAGAATAAAAAAAAGAACAATTTTCTTAATGAAGGAATATATAAAAGACGAGTTAGGTTGAATGGGAAGGAGAAAAGACAAATTTCTTTGACTTTGTTGTCAAAAGAAATGTATTCATGTTCACGATGTTGATCACAACCAATTGATCGATACATTTAATACAAATCATTTTGAAAGTTATATTCTTTGAAAAAAAAAATGTCACTCAATAAACTTTCATAGATTACGAAACATTTTCGCAAAATATAGTCATATAGTATAATAACTATCATTTTCTTATACACTAACCGAGTAATATACATGTTAACTTGAGAATATTAGTCTTCATTCAAGTGTTCGAGAAAACTTACATCATAGACAATTATTTCACCTTCACTCGTCCCTAATCTCCAACTGTTGCATACCTTAATATGTAGGATGAATTTATTCTATAGGTATATTTCTCGTCATTTTATTGTCAAGGCCATACCTAACACGGTAGAAAGAATCAAGAGGATAAGAAATTAGCATATCTCAATTTAATTGGAGATGAGCTCGGTAGGTCAAACGTTTCCATCTAATTGTACCTCATTGGTTAGATGCCTGTCCAAAGACCTTGTCGAAGGTTTCATGTGCTCTATGTGACACCAAAAACTTATGTGGGTCGTAGGCCCTTATGCTCTGGATCTTACTCCTAACATTTGTGGTATCAATTCCTTCCCAAATTTAGAAGTGATAATGAAGATGGTAGTGTCAGAAATGACAATGAAGATGGTGGTGTGATAGTGCACGACCTCCAAACATGACAAGGAGCAAGATAACGAACGTTAACTAAATTGAGAGCGAAGTAACAAAAAAAAAAAAAAAAAAAAAAAAAAAAAAAAAAAAAAAAAAAAAAAAAAAAAAAAAAAAAAAAAAAAAAAAAAATCCAACCAATTAAGTTTGAAAGTATTAGCCAAATTAGAAAGATTATTAAGAACAAAATGTAATTTAGGGCATACAAAACAAGATATTTGGGTTTATAATTTGGAAGGGAAAGGTAGAGAAAGAAGAGGTGAGTTTAAAGAGGAGTGATGGTTTTTCTGGGTGGAGGTTTACGCATCCCCATTATACCCGCCACCCAACCTCCGCTGCCCTCACCCTTTCTTTTCTCTCTCTTCAACCCCCCCTTCTCTCTCTCCTCTGTTCTTCCCCCCTTTCCAATTATTTTAGCCTCTTCCTCTGTCATTCCCCTCCAAATTCACTCTCCTCTCTGTTCCCCCATTCCCAATCCCTTCCAATTTATCTTCTTCACCTTCTTCCACTTTCTCTGTCCTTTCTGATTTTTTCTTCACCTCTAACGGACTAGCTCTCTTCAATTCACCTGGGTTTTTCATTTTCTGATTTTGGTTCATTCGATTTCACTCCAAATTTCTTTCCATGGGTAACATTGGTAGTAGCGGTTCCAATAGCCGGAGAAGGCACGGTAGCCGCCGAGGCGGCCACCAGACTCCGCCTCCACCAGCCCCACCGCAGCCCGAGATTACAAGTAATCGGTACGTTTTCGCTGCCGCTACGCCTTACCCATCTCAATACCCCAACCATCCGAATCACCCACCGCCGTATTACCAGTATCCTGGTTTCTTTCCGCCGCCGCCGCCTGGTCCGCCGCCGTCGATGCCGATGTCTTTGCCGCCTCCTTACGATCACCACCACCGTGGAGCCCATCCCCACATGGATCCCGCGCATTGGGTCGGTGGGAGGTACCCTTATGGCCCTCCTATGCCGCCCCAAACGCCGTATGTTGAGCACCAGAAGGCGGTTACCATACGAAACGATGTCAATCTCAAGAAGGAAACTCTTAGGGTCGAGCCTGATGAAGAAAACCCCGGCCAATTCCTTGTAGCATTCACGTTCGATGCCACCGTCGCCGGAAGGTATGTGTTCTAATCTTTGGAGCTTTTGATTTCCTTTTTGTAACTGTGATTGTTAATTGAAGTCATCTGATGGTTTTGTGGAAGTGTTGGGTCAGATTTTTTAATTATTTATTTGCTTTTGTTTTTCTGATACTGAGGAGCAAGAATGGTAGAATAATGATTTTATGAAGCCCTCCATAGTTATTATAAATGATTAGAACAAGTCATGAGCTCTGGTTTTGTAGATATTTAGTGATCAAAATTATAACTCATCAGTTCTCTGTGGTGGTGAAAAGGAGATTTTTCTATAAGCTTAGAGATGATTGAAAGATTATTGGGATTGTTGACCCCTTAAAACTAAACTGAGTCAACTTCAGGTGTACGTTGTTGTAAATGCTAGAATCTGGGCTTGAATTTGAACACACCTTGACCAAGACTGCAGGTGTTTGTTCTTGGGTTTTTAACTTATCCATAAGCGGAGGGGGTTTGAACCTCCGAACTTTTGGTTATTTGAGCTATGTTCAGGTTGTCATATAGATATTTGTTGATTGTGTTGATAGTATAGGTTGAATTCATCGACCTAACTTATTGATTGCCCTCCCACTCCCCCCCCTCACCCCACCGAAAACGAAAAGCGAAAATGTTGGTAGTTCTTTCATTTGCTGCTTATGAGTTTAATCAGAGGCAATTTTTGAAAAGGTTTAATAGTCTCGAGGCCTTGTTTTCAGAGGCGAGGCAGAAGTTACAAGTTACGTTAGAGAATCGTTATTGAAGTCATAAGAATGTAAAACCGTGAATCTCTAAATATAAATGTTCATATAAAAGTTCACTAACTCCTCCTTCATATCACCACTATCACTATTATTAATGGGACGAGTGGTTGACCTTTTGTTAAACTTTCATCTTTAGGGACTCTTTCAAGTCTTAGTGAAAGTAATAACGAGACACCACCCGAGCCCTCCCGAGCCCTCGTAAGATGACTATTATAAATGGGCGTTATTCCTTTAACTATTGCCATAAGTATTCCAAGCCTTGATACATTTTTATAAAGGCAGTCTCTATTGTAAGAGGTATGGGTCTCTAATGAATTGAACACAACTTAGTCTTTGAACCAAAGATCCTTCGGATGTTTAGGAACAACAAACCTTTACAGTAGTATAATATTGTCCACTTTGAGCATAAGCTCTCATGGTTTTGCTTTTGGTTTTCCCAAAAGGCCTCCTACCAATGAAGATATATTCCTTACTTATAAACCCATGATCAACTTCTTAATTAGTCGATGTGGGACTTCTCTCCCAACCCTCCTCAATAGAGACAAGCCTTAGGGCATATAGACCTTAAGAGCCTTTGAAAACGTTCTTTAGAGGGTCTTTTCTATTTTCCTTTTATTAGCATCTACGGTCGTGTTAATAGCCCTGTCAATTGTTAAATTTTCTTTTATGGGATTAGCCTGAGAATTTGAGTCTCTTTTATCTTGAAACAGTATCACCATCTTCTTCTTTGCAAAAGAAGGTGAAGATTGCAACTTGACTCCCGTAAAAGAAGACATTCTTCAACCAGTGACTGTCCATTTCGAACAAGGCCTTGGACAGAAGTTCAGACAACCTTCTGGAACAGGAATAGATTTCTCAAAGTTTGAAGAGTCAGAATTTCTGAAAGTAAATGACACGGATGTCTATCCATTAGCAGTGAAAGCTGAAGCCTCCACTGACAGCCAAACTGGCCCAGATGGTACCTTGGTACCTGAGCCCATGAATGCTCAGATAACCCAGGCTGTGTTTGAGAAAGATAAAGGTGAATATCAGGCAAGAGTGTTGAAACAAATCCTGTGGGTCAATGGTATGAGATATGAGCTGCAGGAGATATATGGCATTGGCAATTCAGTCGAGGGCGAGGTCGATGGAAATGACCCCGGAAAGGAATGCGTCATTTGCTTGTCGGAACCACGGGACACGACTGTACTTCCCTGCCGACACATGGTAACAACAACGATCTCTTTCTTAGTTTATTGTAGATGATTCTTACGCTATTCACAATACTATGATCATATGCAAGTCTGTTTCACTTGGTTCTGTTTTATTTGAGCTGATATCTTCATGCCTACAAAAGTTATGTCTTCTGCACTCCTTTGTGCTCGCTCCATTCAATCCTTAGGCACCATTGATTTGTTCTCTTGTTCTTGACAGTGCATGTGTAGTGGTTGTGCTAAGGTGTTGAGGTTCCAGACGAATCGATGCCCGATTTGCAGACAACCAGTCGATAGGCTCTTAGAGATAAGGGTCAGCAATGGACCAGAAGAATAAAGAACGGTACGAGTATCGTCTCATCATAAAACAAACTCTGTACAGCACTGCTTTTGTTGCATTTCTTTTTGCATCATCTGAACTGATTCTCTTTCCCTCGAATTCTCTACCTGCTGTTCT